GATTCCAAATGGAAGTAGTACTCCAAACAGCTAAAGTCTCAAAATGTGAACCCTTCTGGCAATAATATTTCCCAGGACCTGCAGGCTAAGCATCCCCAACCTCTACAAATAGCACATGATGCCCAACACCAGCTTCATAGTGCTTTCATCCCATATCCTGAAAAAGCACTGGTTGAGATGAGTGAAAATGAGAAAAATAATGTCAATTCACTAGAGGCATTAACAGTACAAAATGTCTCTCAGAATTCATTGAAATAATGACAAAATCAGGATAGAGAAAGGAATTAATGCAGCTCAACAATATTCAGTAAAGTGAATGCAATTCCTGTAAAAAAATGTAATATTCCAAAATCATTTAGTGTGATTGGCAGCATCAAATATAGCAAAATGGATTTCTATTTCAAGATGCAGTTGGTTCTTTTCCAAGAGCTCAGGTTCATGGTGTTCCTCCCGTGCACCAGATGTCTGCCCCCAGGCTTTGAAACGCCTAACAGCCTACATAGGGGAGCCACTGGCTTCCCACTGCCTTGTACCCATGGCCTTGTACAGAAGAGATCACAAAAGGAAAGAATTCCCCAAATCTGCTGTGTATTAAATCATTTAACTGCAGGTCAAAGAGTGAGACATACATAGGTACACTAAAATACTTTGGAAATGACAACTACAACCAATGCTAAGAAATAAGTAAAAGTGAGTTTATTTTTTAAAAAGTAAGAGAGGGGATTTTATGTTGTGGGTGGACACCAAAAGAGAAATGAGAGAACTGTGTTACTTTACTGCTGATATATTATGCATTAGTACAGTAAACATTCCCTTTTCTACACCTAGAATGTAATGTGTTTGGATAACTGCTGGTCGGGTTATGAAGCTCTGAAGAAAGAGGAACATCTCAGAATGAAAGACCTTTCCTTCCCAGAGCTTTAATGATAGCACCGTATTTATTACAGGAAGCCCCTACAAAAGACATAGAAGGCTTAGCACTTTTGTCTTATACAGGATTCAAATAAAATATCCCTACCACATATGTATGTATATATAGAAAAATAATATTTTCAAAAAAAAAGAAAAATAATATTTTCAAGTATGACAGCTTGGCATGGTGGTGCAGAGCACAGGTTCCACATTTAAACTGTAAGTCTGAATTCTAGCTCTATTTTTTTTAAGATTTTATTTTTTATTATTTATTTGTCAGAGAGAGAGAGAGAGAGAGAGAGAGAGGGAGAGAAGGAACAAGCACAAGCAGGGGGAGTGGCAGGCAAGTGGAGAAGCCAGCTCCCCGCTGAGCAGGGAGCCCGATGCGGGACTCGATCCTGGGACCCTGAGATCATGACGTGAGCCGAAGGCAGACCCTTAACTGACTGAGCCATCCAGGCGTCCCTGAATTCTAGCTCTAAGAGTTAGTAGGTCTATAACCTGTGGCAAATTCCTTAATCTTTCCGGACTTCAGTCTCCTTAATGGTAAAACAGAGGCAATAATTATGACTACTGTATAGGTTCGTTCTGAGGGTTAATTCAGCTAAAACAAAGTGTTTGGGACAATGTCCAGTATATAGTAAGTGCTTAATAAATGTGAGCCTTTATTACTTTATGTTAATTTTCTCATTTAATTCTTATGACACACCTGTGAAGTAGATATAACTCTCAACCCACGGGTGAGGAGAGTTAAGTAATTTGCCCAAAGTCACACGGAGGTAAAACAGGACTTGACAATGGATCTGTCCAGGTCCAAGATTATGCTCATACTTCTACCTAATACTTCCCATGTTACCTACAGGTCCTGCTCTTATATCATCATAACATTTATCAAGATGCATTTAAATTGCCTTTTAACTGATTTTTTCACCCTTAGAATAAACTCTTGTGAGGACAGAGACTGGGTCCTGTTCATTCATTTCAGTCCATTAGTCCCCACCGCCCACTAACCCACATTTCAGAGCTTTTGTGCCAGGCATTGTTAGGTCCTGGCATATCACACTGAGTAGAACCCACAGGTCCCTGTGCTGGTGGAACTCAAAATCTACCCCCAAAGACTGATAACCTAAGCACATAGAATTATAAATTGGTATAGTTATAAAGAAGGAAATAGAACAGGGTGTTAGAAAAGATCTTAAAAGATGAAACTCATTTAGTGGGGCAAAATGCAAAAAGGCCTTTCTGAAGGGACACATAAACTGATGAGAAGACTTAGTAGGAGCTAGCAAGGCAAAGAAATGGGGATACAAACCACTTGTCATAGGACCCTAAGAAAAGACTTCTTCATCTGATGTGTGAGGAAGGGAAAGCTACTAAGGCCAGAAAGGTACCGGTCTAGCTGACAAATGGTGAGCTCAGGGCAGAGATGAGATATGATGAGAAGAGAGAGATGACAGACCAGAACACACAGGACTATCAAGAACTGGAGAGAGTTTATCCTTGGTACGATGGGAACTCCACTTGGTTTTTAGAAAGGTCATGCTCGCTGCAATGTGGAGACTAAATTGAAAAAAGACAGGAGAAGAATCTGGGAAATCCACTGAGATGCTCCACAGCAGATGAGGGGCCCTGTGATGGCAGTCTGGGACCAGAAGGGAAGAAGTGGGGTAGGAAAAAGTGTACAGGTCCAACGTGTATTGACCTTCACCCCTAACATGCTGCCTGACAAGAATAGGGATTCAGTAATTTGTGGACTGACTGACTGACTGAGTGAGTGATTTCTCAGGCAGGGCGGCTGCTGGTTCTAAGGCATCCACTAACCCACAGACACATGACCTCCCCCTGAGCAGTATCACCATCTAGTGGAAGTGAGAGACACAGGAAGATATTGAAGAAATGATGCTTACATTGATAATCCAGCTGACAAGACTCCACTTGTGAAAACCTCTTGTAAATGTATCTTTGTGAAACAAAACGCCTCTCCCATTCTGACAATGGAAAATTTAAGAAGCCAGATATCTTTCTGCTATATGACTTTCCAAGCTTGTTAGAGAAATGTATTATTTAAAACAGCCCGGAGCTATGCTGCTAGAAACACAGTAAAACACTAAGGGTGCTGAAAGAAAGTCCTCTCATTTAAAAAAAAAAAAAAAAAAAAGCTGTAGTTAGACAGTCTATACTCATTATTCTATGTTCTTTCTTATAAAAATATGGTCTCTGTCATTACTTCCTAAAATGGCAAAATATTCTGATTATCTATTAGCAACAAATTCAAATTCAGAGTCAATATTTTTCCTTAGAATCTGCTAAATTGGGTGCCTGGGTGGCTCAGTCAGTTAAGCGTCTGCCTTCGGCTCAGGTCACGATCCCAGGGTCTTTGGATGGAGCCCTGCATCGGGCTCCCCACTCTGCGGGAAGCCTGCTTCTCCCTCTCCCACTCCCCCTGCTTGTGTTCCCTCTCTCGCTGTGTCTCTGTCAAATAAATAAACAAGATCTTAAAAAAAAAATAAAAAAGAATCTGCTAAATTCACAAAGTCAGGACAGTGAATGTTTTCCCCATGTTATTTAAAAATTTTGACCTTTTGTCCATAAGACATTTATTTTGCTAAAATTATAAAACTAAAGCCATTTGAAAATGCTTGTCCACGTGGTTATGACAACAAGAGAATGAATCTATGACTATAGTCGAATGAATTCAAAATCTAATAAATAATCCCATCACTCCTGAAAATGTTTTCCCATCCTTAAGTTGGCCAAGATGTTCATTAATAATAGGGTAATGAAGGTGTAGTCGGGCTTACTTACATCAGATGCTCTTTTGCTGAGACGAAGTTAAACCTAACATACCTGTCAATTTCTCAATAATTAAAAGCTTTAGTTATTACTAACTTAGTTAAAACAGTATCTCGCCTAGGCTAGGGTGATAAGCTCAAGTATCTGTGGGCACAAATAAAGCTTAATTTTGCATAGGCACAGAATGCTCAACATCAAGAGTCTGCTCCAAGGTTAAGCCGAGCGTCCTGCACAGCTCTGATCAGAAGGCCAACTACCAGTGCCCCTGCCGCAGCTTCTAAAGACTCTCAGAGCACAGGTGGTAGAGATCAGAAGAAAAGGCACTGCACTGGATTTCTATATAAGGAACTTAATAAGTTTAAAAATAAAATACAGTTTGCCTCCTTCCATTTGGTAGGAAACAACTTTCTCCTACATTGGAAATAAGTCTTTATGTGGTATTCTCTGTACCTTCAGAATGCCTTCAGGGTCTTGAAAATGCTTTTTCTGCAGAACCAGGGAAAGATACATAAGAGCATCAAATAGTGTTTTGGTGCTGTTACTGTAAGAACTGGTTTAAAGAATTATGGTAACCATGGCAGATGATAACAGAAAATCTTGGAAGTTTACTGAGGTTTAAAGTTGAATAAAATGAAGGTATATATTGTTCCATCTGTCCTTTCTCACTCAAGAAAACAAGATTGTATATTATCATCTAAAATTTGTATTTTTCCAGCATACACACAAATCACTAATAATGCACAAAACGAAGACAAATGAATAACCTCAAATTTATGTTCTTCTCACTTTATTAAGAAAGCTCTTCCTTCCTCTCAGTTACCAATGTAACTAGTACAAAATTACCTTTATTAATAGAAAAGTCATTTATTCCAGCTGGAAAATAAAAGACTAAGATTAGGCCCTGGACAGCTATTAATTACAAAGAAAAATGAGAAAATAGCATACCTTAAATCTAATGTTTTATTAAAAGTGCAAATGTATTAATGAAATCTTGGGCAATATTCCATTTTATCTGAACGCATAAATCAAATGTTATTTTCTCACAATCATCTCAGATAACAGACAACCCAACTGAGTTAAAGTTGTATATTCTCATTTTTGCTAAACAATCTGTTCATAGCAAGGCTATTTAAAACAAATATATTCCAAGCCATTCATACATCAACCGATATTTCTAAACTAAAGCAAATAACTTTAAAATGAGGTATTTTGATCAATTTTAATCCAAATATGGTTTTCAATAGCAGAGAGTACAAAATCACCCCTCATTTGAATGAAAATCTCACACTTCGGGATTATTTGTTTCTGCATGTTATAGCCTGTTTATTGTGAAATCCACAATCCTTTGATATTTTCTTAAACAGATGAAATTTGCCTTCTTCCCTTAGGGAAATGCCAGACTATAATGATATTTCAGAAATACAATTAAATTAGTTTAATTACTTCATGTCAACTTGATAAGTCACTGCTCTTTAATGCAAAACCTGCCACTTGTAATTAATGACTGTCCATACTGTTTCAATTGATTAAATGTCTAAAACACATAAAACATTGAAAGAAGTTCTGTATATCTTACAGCAATTCAGTGGAGAAGTCTTGTCCCAGGGGTATGTAAATCTGAAGTACAAGAAACCTCTGGATCAGTCCAACTAGAATGAGAGGGGGAAAATATACATTCATATGTTCAAACCATTTATATATGCATATAAACCAACACAATCACATACCATCAACAACCTGAAGCTTTTAGCGTTTCAGTAATATAGTACAACTGTAATAGCACTGCCCATAAGTTACAACTTCGTTATAAAAGCAAAAAAGTTGATGAAAATCAAATCAAACTCTAACAACAAATGTTGCCTTTTAAAGTCCCATCTGTGGGCTTGGTGAAATTTTTATGAAAATTTAAAAAATAATTTTTTACTTACTATTTTTATTAGGTTGCAAGAGAATGTACACATAGGACAGCATTCAATAGAAACCTATAAAACTGAACTACAGATTCCCATCAAGGCAGCCATAAAAGCATGTGGCAATTATTTTTATCCACTGACAGTTTTAACTGAACTAAACAACTTAATAAAAAACAATAGATCAAGAAAAACAATTCTGATTATGACAACTACAGCTGAAGGTTTGATGAGCCATATCTAGTTCATGATTCTAAATGTGTCCACAGTGAGATGGATGGAGGAATATATTTTCATTTATAATGCCTTTTGTTAATTTAACATACTTTTAATTAATTCAGTGCTCACAAACTGCAAACTGCTTTCATTTCCCATCACCAGCTTCATCTGAATTAAAAATATCTGAAGAAAAACCAACCCCTACGGCACTTTTGATAGCTGAAGTCTACAACTGTTTCGAAAATCAATTGATTTTATATTATCTCTTCAGACCCATTCACTTAATTCCTTTTCTCTTAGGTTTTGAACTTTTGCTGGATCTCTCAATTATGATGCTCCTAATGGATGTTTTAGAATCACTTCCTCCTAAAACATGCCTTTTAGGAACTTATTTCCTCATGTGGGACTTCTGTAGGAAATGGAAATGTTCTGACTTATCTGTGAACCTCTCCTACAAATCTTACAGTACAGGGCAACAGGAGAGGATAAAAGAAGGCTACTGGTCTAAAATGCATATTATTTTCTATTTATTCCAACTCAGTAGACTTAACAAATTTAAGTATTTCAAAGTAACAATATGTGTATGTTTGTTTGCTTGTTGTGTGTGTGGGTGTTTTAACAATACATGTTTGGGTAATCTACATGTATGTTCTGGTTTATAATTCCTTCGGTAAACTGTTTTGCAACATTCCTGAACAACTTAAATAGTTCCTACATTTTACCCAAAATTTAGTTTCTACAAAATAAACATATTTGGACAAGTCTGCTTAATATCTTTTAAGTCAAACATACAATGATAACTTTTACTTATAATGCTAAGCTTACAAACTGCTCCAGAGAGCCATCCATAGAGTAGTAATATAATGGAAATAGGGGATAACAGGCTCTGACCTTTGAAAATTCTCTAGGGGGTGCCTGGGTGGCTCAGTTGGTTGGGCGACTGCCTTCAGCTCAGGTCATGATCCTGGAGTCCCGGGGTCGGGTCCTGCATCGGGCTCCCTGCTCAGCAGGGAGTCTGCTTCTCCCTTGACCTTCCTCCCTCTCATGCGCTCTCTCTACCATTCTCTCTCTCTCTCAATAAATAAAAATCTTTAAAAAAAAAAAGAAAAAAATTCTCTAGGAACTGGATTTTACCATATTTATGGGAAAAGCCAATGAGGCAACCCTGAGTTCTGGACTACAAAACTAAAGTGAGATACCAAAATGAGGCCAACTTCAATAAATCATCATTAATTTCTCCCCTGCATCTTCCATTGATTGACCCTATGGCGTTTTTCCATTGCACAATGGCCTCTGTATATAGAGCTGAGACAGCACCTGGATAAATGAAATCAGTCTTTACAAAGGTCCCTAAGTTGTGTCACCAATCTCACTGAATCAGCACAATTTTCTTCGAAAACAATGAGCTACGCTACACATACAGGGCGTTTTCCTATGAACATTTTTAGATATGAAAGACACTTGCCCTCAAAAAAGAAAGTAATTTGTAATTCAACTTTCTCACATACAGAAGCCCTAGTTTCCAAAAGGCTTCACTTCTAAGATTAAAAGAAGTATGACAATACCATATGGTGATGATCTGACAAAGAAAAAAGTACTTTAATAACATCTGACATACACTGATCCTGTGTGTCAGAAATGCTAAATAAACTCTATAGTAATATTTTTTCCAGTGGCCTAGTAAATTTAAACTGACTCTTGTCTACATTATATTGAAAATCACTAAGTAATGCTGAATGTGAACTACTATTAGTCAAAAAATGCCCATCAAGTATATAAAATTCATAAAAATTTAGTCTTTTTACTGAAATATGCAGGTTTCTGCAGTTTCATAATCTGTTCTCTGCTGAGATAAACTACCTCTATTTTTAAGGGGTCAAGTCCTTTTTTCCTTTGAATCTTTTAAAGCGCATTTAACTGGTAAACACCATCAGGTTTTTAAAGAGTGGTTTTATACTTGCTTCATTACAGCCAGTGACAGTTGTACACCAACATACACCACATGTACATCTCACAATTGTTTCATTGTCCACGAGTTTGGGATGAGGGCACAACACAGTCATCCTTTACAGGTGCCCTGCCAAGTCTGAAGTGCAGTGACTGAAGCTACTTCCTGCTTCCTAGCGCAGTCCCGGCACGAACAGCACATTGAAGTGCACCTCTCCCACTTCAACCCAGAAGACAGGAAATAGGTATGCCTCTATTCTGGATCATTCCATATTCCTCGGGCAAATCAGAAGATCTCTCTGGGCTCTTTTCCTTTCATGTGTAAAACTGGGCTGGGCAAATTGGGTATATGCCTCATAGGATTATTTGTATGAATTAAATTAGATCATTCAAAAAAAGACTTATTGAGCATCTACTACATGCCAGACTCAATGCAGATGTTTTTGTAGTGAATAAGACAGACACTGTCTGTGCTCTCTTGGAACCGATATTCTAGTTTCAGGAAGGAGAAGGTCAGGGTGCAATGAAAGTGTATAATCCTTGGTCACTGGAGGGAAGATGAGTGAGGGTTTTCTGGCAGAAATAACACTGGAATTCAGCCGGGAAGAAAGAGCAGGGGTTGAGTGGGCGAGGGAGATGAAGGAACAAATATCATAGGGAGAGGGAATACTCCACCATGTGATGAAAAAAGCCATGGTGGAGTGCATGAATCTAAAGACATAAAGGACTGGTAGCAACATAGAAAGGGAAAAGCAGCAGGAGGTGATTCTGGCAAATAGCTAGGATCTCAATCATTCAGGGCTAGGAAGGCCATGTGAAGGATATAGGTCATCCTAAGATCAATGGGAATCCACTCATATATTCATTAATTTATTCCACAAAGATTTACTGAATGTCTACTATGTGTCAGGCACTATACTAGGTGAACAAAATAGACTAAATTTCTGTGCTGGGGGTGCTTACCTCTGGAAACTGTGAGAAAAACAATAAAAAAAACCCTCTAAGGAACAAATAGCACGTAAAATGGAGATAAGTACATGGGAAAAAGTAGAGAAAGGTAAAAGGGATCAAGAGTGTGTAAGGGCTATAAATTACAGGGCAGGGTGGGCTGTCATTGAGAAGACATTGTAGTAGAGGCCCACAGAAGAGACGGTGAGCCACGCAGCTATTTGGGAAAAAACAGCTCTAGGCAGAGGGTTACCAGCTTGTGCACAGGTGTGAAGGTGAAAGGGCACCAGGCTACGTTTGAAAACAGCAAGGAGACCGTATGGCTGCAACAGAGTGAACAACAGCAAGAGTAACAGGAGATAAGGTCAGAGAATTAAGAGGGTACCAGATACCATAGGGTCCCACAGATCTTTGGTTTTCACTCAGAGATGAGACATTTTCAGTAGTGGAGAGCCTTACATTTGCAAGTATTGCTCTAGCTGTGAAACTGACAACAAACTGTAGGGAAGCAAGTAAAAAAAAAAAAACAGGTGGGCCAATGAGAAGACGAATGCATGAGATATTCCAAGCATGAGATGTGGTGGCACTGGCGGCGACAAAAAGTCGTAGTCAGACTCGAAGTCTAACCTGAAGATAGAACCAACAAAATCTTCCTGATGGACTGAAAGAAGAGAAAAAAAATCGGCCTGATTGAAGTTTTTTGTCAGAGCTACTGGAAAAGACAGGTTGCTAACAACGGAGATATGGCTATCTGTAGCAGCAGGAGTGGTTTGTAGGGTAAAGCTGTCCAGATAGAAATGTCATCTAAGCAACTGAAATTACAAGTCTGGAGTTTGAGAGAGAAGTCTGATTTGGAAATACATTTAAGCTGGAGTAAGAAGAGATGGTATTTACATCTATGAGACAAGCACCGATATTCAAAGGAGTAAATACAGGTGGAGAGTATCAAGGGTCAGGTCTGTAGGCATTGCAATATGAAGCTGGGCTGGGGAGAGAAAGAACCATGAAAGGAAATTAAGAAGGAAGACCAGTGAGGTGGAAAGAAAACTCGGACGATGGGCATCCAAGGAGGATGGTGTCAACTTGTTAAATGTTGCTGATACGTCAAGCACGATGAGGGCTGCGAATGAGCCACTGGATTCAGGAATACAGAGATGACTAGGGACCCTGACAAGAGCACTACCAATAGAGTGGTGAGGTCAAGATCGTTGAAGGGTTTTAAACAAAGCAGGTCATAATGACATTTATTTTAAGAATACCAAAGTGGGAGTGGGAGTGGGAGTAGGTTGGGGGGGTGGGCCTCATAAAGATGACCTCATCTTCATCCTCCAGAGCAGCCGAAACTTAGATAAACACAAGGCTTCAGGGATGCTGATCCCAAGAGACACACCTTAAGATTCAGATGCCCCTGGCAGAGAAAACAATGGATTCAAATAAGAGCCTCAAAAAGATTAAGCCCTGGGGCAGACCATCCAAACGACAGATTTTTGTGTGTGACACTGCTGCATCTCATATGGGCAGCTCCACAGCATGATCCAGGATGAAGAGCAGCATGGATTTATTTGTTTAGTTGGCTAATCATTTACTTAATCTGCTTATGAGGGCGAACTGGTTACAACTAGAAATTATAACCCAAATTGTGATAGTTTCTTAATGTGGCAAAGGTAACAAACTTATTAAACACCAACTACATACGATATACCAAGTTAGGGGAACAGAGTGCAAGATTCCTGCGCTGGAGAAGTGCATGATCTGATCATCAATATCACGCTTTCCTCTGTTTGATAAGATGTTATGTAAAAAACAAACAAAACTCTGACATTTAGAGATGCTCAAATATAATTCAGAAATATCACCATTTAAAATGAAAAGTTAAACATACTTACTTTCATCATTTAGCTTTTTTCCTAACTACCTAACATAGTGGAAAATACATACGGGGTACCTAATGTCAAGTTTGCATAAATAAAGTGGATGTTTACTCTTAAAATAGGAATACCTAATGGTAACTGAACTAAATTTAGAAATGTTAACGGAAAACCAATTCTCTACTCAAGACATGACATTCAATTTAACAACTTCACACAGAAGGTTGTTTTACACAAGTGAAAACAGCTATAAAGTTCTGTTATCAAAAATTACAAATAATTAATCTTAAAGGTTAGTACAGGGCAGACTCTATAAACTGTTTCATTTGTTACAGCACCACACATGCTACCGAAGAGCCAGATTAATTTTTAATTATAGGGCATTGTACAAGAAATACATTAGAAGATTCTTCTGTTTCTTCCAATTAAAACTATCATTTTTCCTTTTACAAAGCAATTACAACACATTAAGCTTGTTTTATTTCTAAAAAAAAATCTTAGATAAATGTAGGAAAAGGGTGCTTGTCTTTAGTCACTTAGCCTTTGATAGAGGGGAAATCTTTCTCAGATCCAACTGAGAGAGGTTACCAGAACTGATTTGATTTTATCAGTAACATGATTATGTGCATAGATGCTAAGGGCATTGCACAGAAGGATAGGCCAACCAGAGAACACTGGTTTAGAACAAAGGCACATTCCCGCAAATCAGATGTATCCATCTCACAAAGTCAATATCCTTCAAAACAGATGGACCATGTCTCCTGCAACAAGAATAACCTACAATTTCAGACATATTTTTCTGGCTCATCTTAGTTTACCTCATTTATAAGTATATAAATATTTGTGGAAATGAAAAAAAAAAACTCTACTGTTTAAAAGGAACTACGAGGAAATCATGACTTTTAAAGTGGTAGTAAATTAATAATGATCTCAACAAAGATTACTCCTTCTCTTTGAGGTTCTGTTTTATTTTAGAAAGAAACACTGGCAAACTATTTTAAAATTAATCATCTTCCATCTATAATTTCTATGGCTCATTTTACATCTTAGAAATCTAAATATGCATGCAGTAGTGTGAAGTGGTAGATAAAGCAGAGCCTGTGAAAGTTGAGAAAACCGAATTAAAACGAGAAAATCAATTACCAAGAACAGGTCTTTTCATAGCACCTGGTACACAGTAGGTGTTCAATAAATGTTCTTAATTACTAAAGGAAGAAATAAGGAAATGATCAACATAAAAAAAAACTGGTTGCTTACATTTAATAAATCACCTGAAATCTACAGTTAATACACAGGATAAAGTTGATGAAAATCAGATGAATTATTTTGAAAAATTATATATCTTAAATTGCCATCAATTTACTCAAAGCCTAATTTGGTGGCAGAGCCTTGAATCTTAACCTCAGTTCTCCCAATAACTGGGTTTCTGATTGTAAATTCAGGTGATTTTTCAAGGTCCCTTCTGCTTTAAAATGATGTTCCTAATTTCCAAAGTAAGAAAGAAATGAAAATCTACTCTTTGGGTTTTTGTTGAAACACATATTTGTATTTATATTTATACATACTAGATATTAATATTCTTGAAGGTATACAAGTTGATGTGTCACTAAGTAATGCCTTCTATGGTATTTCACACAACTTTTTTCTCACAGATTTTTTCTATAATTTAGGAAGTCCTGAGTTTATTTCAAAGCTTACCCTTAATTATCTGATTTCTTGATGAGAAACCAATCTCAGTGTGTTTATTGTAAAAGAACTACTATCAGAATTAAAAGAGTTAATAAATGTGAAATGCTAGGGAAGTCATAGGCACACAGTAATTAATAAATACTGTTACTATGATAATCAATGGCTACCAAATAATTTTCTAAATCTTCTTAAAAATACTTCTAGCCGTGCCTGGGTGGCTTAGTCAGTTAAGCGTCCAACTCTTGATTTCGACTCGGGTCATGGTCCCAGGGTTGTGGGATCGAGTCCCACATGGGACTCTGCACTCTCAGTGCAGAGTCTGCTTGGGATTCTCTCTCTCCCTCTCCCTTTGCCCCTGCTTGCTTGGGCGCTCTCATTCTCTCTCTCTAAATAAATAAATAAAATCTAAAAAAAAAAATACTTCTAGATTACGAATCAACAATGAAGTAAAATACATATATATATAACTTAATATATATTTATATAATATTTATATATACATGAAGCCTGGCATAAGGTTAATTTCTAAATTAAAAACAGACCTATCACTTTAAGTTAACAGACGCCAGTAAAAGCCAAACTAATGCCTGTGTGCTAGACTTAAAAGTGTAACTTTAAAAATCAAATGTTAAGCTTTAATATCAAAAATCTTACTTACGGATTTGCTTATTCTCCTTTGGTAATTGAATTTTGTTTGTTTGGCTGCTGCCTTCCAGGACAAACACAAAACTTTTAACTTCTTTATCAAACTCCTATAGAACAAAAATAAAAACAGTGGTAATTGGAGCATATTTTATTTGGCTTCTATCATAAAATTGGAGCTGCAAACCCATAGGGGAAAAAGTCCCAGATTCAAATGACTTAAAAGTCAGGCCTTGATGATACTCTCACCCTGAAAACTGCTGGGAACTGGATACAGAAGCCCCACTATATCACTTGATAAATCCTCTATCATATCAAGAAACTCTTCCTCCAAATGATAAGAAATTCCCTAGTTTCAGGGATTCCCAAGTTACTAATTTAGAGTTTCCAGAATTTAGTTACCCTTCCTTCCTTTAATCAACATATTCCTGTCTAACAGCACAGGCTGAACATCACTCCATGTTACCATATACAAAATTACCTAACCTATGTTGTATCCAGTCCGCAAGTTCCTGGGTGTCTGGCCATGGCTCATACGAAATTAATCATTGCCTTATTTTACTAGTGCTCTAACCTGAAGTTCTATATGTCATCTACTGAAAATCAGTACTAATTAAAGTGTTACAATTAAGGTGACCTTTTTAAAAAACTATGGTAGGAGAGGGACGCCTGGGTGGCTCAAGTCAGTTAAGCATCTGCCTTGGGCTCAGGTCAACATCCCAGGGTCCTGGGATCAAGCCCCGCACTGGGCTCCCTGCTGAGCGGGCAGCCTGCTTCTCCCTCTCCTTCTGCTGCTCCCCCTGCTTGTGCTCTCTCTCTCCCTGTCAAATAAATAAATAAAATCTTAAAAAAAACAAAAAACAAAAAACTATGGTAGGAGAAACGTAAACAGAACAAAACCAAACCTGAAAATAAAAAACCTCCTTAAACGTGACAGTCCGATTTCCATGACTCAAAGTGGTAATGTAAATGGTTATTTTTTCATTTTGAAGCAAATTCCCAACCTGAGTATAAAGACCCATTATAATATTTCACAGATCCTCCCAATCTTCCTCTCTGTATATGTTAAGAAATGCATTGTAACTAAGGCTGCTGAGCATTAAATACCATTCAAATAAATCTGTATTATATCCATCACAACAGCATCTCTCATGTATTTGAAATGAACACACATAGACTGACTATATCATTCTATCTATACACAAGTTGGGCATATACTTAAAACCTTTCAACAGCTTACCCAAATCATCAACATGGTCCATAAACCTCCACCTAGTCTAGTTGCTGCCTGGTTTTGCAAACTTCAATCTCCTACCTTGCACTCTTTCTTTTCTCTGTATTCTGACCTTAGTAGCCTTCTTGCAATTTCTTAAAAATTCTAAGTTCTCTCCTGCACAAGGAATTTGTATGTGCTTTTTCCCTTTGCCTGAAGCACTCTTGTCTCCACCAGGCCCACACAGTGCATAGTTAGCTCTTAGAGATCCAATGTCATTTCCTTGGGGAAGCCTTAATTACTTTCCCTGCTCTAAACCCTCCACATCACTGATCTCTCATTCACAGGAAGAGCTGTATGATTTTAAGCAAGTTGTTTACTCTCTCCATGACCTCAGTTTTAGCATCCAGAAAATTGGCATAAAGTACCTATCACACAAGGCTACTGTATAAATATATGTAATGTGCTAAAGCTGGGCTTGGCAAACAGTAAGCACTCAGTTAACAGTAGCTTTAAAAAGTTACCCACAACATCCACAGAAAGACGTTTTCCTCCCAGTTGAATAGGAGAAGAGTGAAAGAGAAAGGGATAGGGATGGATATAGGTTTTTAGGTCTGTTGGCAGCAGGCTGAGGTAGTTTCTATCTGATGGCATCAATTTTTCCCTGTGAAATGGGGCATGAGGTCTTCCAGTGAGTCGGTAAAGAGGGCCTGTACTTGTGGATTGGGGAGGAAGGGTAGAGAGTTGGGGGTTGAAAACTTGAAGATAATGGAGAAATAATCATTTGAGAGACTAAGAGAACATACAAGGAGAACTTTCCAGGTTATTCAGGTTGAATTTATAGTATTATTAATCTGAGAGGCTATTGATTTTTTTTTTCCAAAGTTACTGAGGGGCCCAGAACTCCGCTCAGAAAAGAGAGATGACTGGGGATTCAGACACGGTTGGCCTCTGCAAGGCCAGCATGATGAAAGGACAAAAAGCAAGGGCATTCAAGGTTTTGCTTGGGAAGTGACTGAAATCACAGACTCTGGATTCTGGGCTGGAGAGGAGAGGAAGCGAAGACAGTGAAAATATATGCCTAAATAAAACTAAGCACAGGGGAAGTAGAAAGGCCAATGGCCTCAAGGTCTCAATTAGGTTGAAGAACAAATACAGTGAGACTAAGTGAGCAAGTAGCCTTAAGAACCGAAGCTTGGGGTCGGAGAGAGATGTCTCAAGGTGTGTCTCAGTCATTTCAGGGGCCCTGCAGTTTACCGTAATAAGGTACAGGGTGTGACAGTGGGAACAGGGACTGACAGAGAGTGGAAGGGGTTATTAGTGATGAAGAAATCAAGAAATGAGCAGCTCAGGGTTTGGAGAGTTTCCTCACAAACACTGAAGTCACCTAAAACAAAAGCAGGACTCGGCCTACAGAGAAGGGTTATGAGCTGAGTGCCAAAGTCTTGAAAGGCCTGAGGAGTGGTTTCTGGGAGAGCTGTAGCCAACAGGGTCATGAAAGGGTTTTTGAATGAACAGTAAAAACAGTTCTGAAACCTTATCAAACCCTTTTTCTTATAACCTTCATTCTCCTTTCTTTCCAGGATTTAGGTGGCCCTAACTTCAAACACTTACTTTCCAAATCACGGATGGACTGCCAAGGATCTTCCATTTTGCTCCAGGATTTTTGCCCTGAGCACTAAAGATTTCAACAAATGCACCTCCCTGGAAAATAAAAACAACATGTTTAAATTAAAGTGAAAGACAATGCTAAACAGGAAATACTATCCACCACACAGCCTATAACCACTGTTCCAGGCAACTGTCTGTTAAATAGATCTGGGAGGAAACATTACTCCTGTTATTAAATCCTACAGTATACCTTGATTGTACTTAAGCCACAACCACTCTGATTTGGGTCATCCTGGATAAATGGTTTAGGGAAATTTTTTTTTTTAAAGAATGATAAACATTAAATTGTGCCATACAAACTCTACAGTCTCTCGATGTGGGGTTCATTTACTTGCCATGTATAAATCATGCTTACAAAACATTCTATTCATCCCTGACTAAAGGGTTTAAACTCAACTTTAGAGCCAGGCTAACAAATTCTGGTAAGTTATCTGTGGCTATAAGCTTTCCAGTCATACTGACCCAAGCTCTGATACCAGCTTTAACATTTATTAACTATCTGACCTTGAGAGTTATTTAACCTCTTGATTCTCCATCTGTAAAATGGGTTGTTGGATTACACAGGATAGTAAACATAAACCAGCAAACACAATACCTTGTATGTAGCAAGGGCTCAACAGTGCCAGCAATGATTATTCAAAAAAAGGACAAACTGAATATTTTGGTAATGGTTAATAAAAAAGCTTGGGAATGAGTGGGCATTGGGGTTTGATTCTTATTCTGAGCATTCCCATCTTTTTATATATCTAATATAAATTGATATGGAAATCTATAAAATTTGTATAAGAAAAATAGAGAACCATTTGTATAGACATGCTCCGTGTTCCCTATTGTAAACCTGAGAACATGCAAGGCCATGCTTATATAAAAGTACTAAACACACTACTGAATACCCATAAGCTTTAATTATCAAAGAAAAGAATTAAGATGATTATCTCTGAGGAAGAGGTAATTGCAAGAAATTGAGAATCTGAAATGAAGACTAAATATGGTTTTCTTTTATGGTCTGTTTTAATTATAAGCAGCACATGAGCAAATCTGTCTGATTTTTGTAAAGAATTTCCAGCTTTTAAGTTTTCTCAATAATATAAAGGTATTTTTGCTTCTGAGTTTTAAAACCATCACTTTAACTTATGACACTAAATTTTCTCTTCCTTAGGCAGTATTATGCGCAAGCTGTGTGTGGTTAAGAATTACTATAAATTACTATAGCTTCTGGGGTTAGGTCACATATCAATAAAAATTTTAAATTTGAGTCAGTTTTGTTTTGTTTGTTTTTTTAAAAAGAAAAATCCTTGTACCTGGTGCAATACCCATCCCCTCTTCCTTCTGCTTTCTCCTGTTTTCCATTGTGGGCATATGCTTTTTTATAACAACATATTTTACCTAAATTGAGAGGAAAACTCTCTTAAATTGTTCTAATACATTTAATGATATCAAATGGGAGTAGAAGAAAGAGAACAGCAGACTACTTGAAGGACACTAATAGGAAGGCAAGTAGCATTTGGTGAAAATGTAGAGGCAACAAAGAGGTAATCAATGGAGGGCTGGTCCAGCACAGGGACAATTGTAAACAGAGAATGTAACCTCAGGTAGAAGTAGGAGGGAAGGTCAGGAGACTAGGGTCAAAAAAAGCAGTGGGTCCAGTGGATTCAGGGGTCCAGTGAGGTGAGAAGAGCAAGCATGTTTTGAAGACACTAAGATACTCAAGGTGACAGAGGAAGACCCAGAAGCAGTTTCTCCACTGTGATCTTTGGACCATGTACATCAGAATCAACTGGGGCAAGTTGAGTTTTTACAGATGTTCTCATTCACTAGATGGGGGGTGAGGGTCAGGAAGTCTGCATTTTCACAAGTACCCCAAGAGATCCTAACCTACCCCAGGTTAGAGAATCACTGACCCCAGTTTTAGGGAAAAAGAAAATAGCACGTAGCCAAATGCTTATTTTCTTTCTTGGTTTAACCCACTCATGCATTCACTCACTCACTCTATTCTAAATAGCTTCTAAGACATCATTGTGCATCAGTAGTGAGTACCCAAGGAACTTGTTAAAACTCAAGATTTATGGGCCCTGCCCTAAGATTCTGATCCAGAGGTCCGATGGGGGTTTAAGATCTGCATTTTAATCAGAGTCTCAGGCAATCCATACACCTTGAAAAGAACTGAGCTGGAGATTGAACAAAAGCCAAATCATACGCCCAAACCGTAGTTGCTTACTCCTTTTTTCTTCCGGGGTCACGACTACTCATCCAGAACTTCTTTCTCACCCAGAAAAAAACCGTGTTAACGGGGAGTGGGGAGGGAGCTTTGTCCTCACCCTGAACACGAACTACATCACCCTAGAGGAGAAAGCTGTAGACAGGATGGAGCGCCGTTTCGGATTACCTGGTACTCATTTTTGAACATTCCCGCAGGGGGCCCGGGGCTTGGGGGACACGGAGTTCAGGGCGTCCAGCGAGTGGCGTGACCCTGACGGCTGGAACTCGGAGGGCGGGAGCCCCAGAGCCCGACAAGCAGGGAAGGGCTTCGCGCGTCGCCCCGACTCTTCTCAGCCCCCGGTCAGCTCCACGTCGAGCCCCCGCCCCGCACCATCGCGACCCCCGCCTCCGGGGTGCCCGGGTGTGGGACGACACAGCTATCTGGGCGGGCTCCGGGCAGCCCTGGCGAAGTGATTGTATGCGTAACCTACGTAACGGGGCGCCCAGCCACAGAGCCACGGACAACCGCCCGCTCGCCGGGGAAAGACGGGCGCGCTCCCGCTGTCGCCCCGCCCCCGAATTCGATCGGAAAGGGGCGGGGCCCAGCGGCGCCTGCGTTCGGACCGCGCCCATTGGCTTCCACGAGGCGCCTGCGCGTTGAGCTCTGTGTGCTCTTCACCGACGGATAAATGAGACTACGCGGTGACGTAGGCGTTGCCCAGGCAACTCAGGGACTCTCATGGATGTGGTGGACCGCCCAACCTGTGACCCGCGCTCTCTAAGGTCGTGACCTCTGTCTGCCAAAAAGCCTAAAAGGAGCCTGGTTTAAAGATGAGCCTGGTTTAAAGAGCTACCGCAGGTGCTGGACTCTTCTAGAGAACCTGTCAAGTCGGTTTCGTCTCTCTTCTTTGTAAACACTGTGATAACTGCTGAAGGGAAGAGTCGTGGAAACCTGGAACCCTCACATGGCCTTTGGTTCCATGGTTTCCAAACTAGGTTTCGTTGAGGCAGGAATAGGGTCAGTTAGTCCCGTTCATTGTTTCAGAAGGCCTAAGGAAGTAAGAGTATTTACTCAAAATTACTGCATATGTTCAAAAGCCAAGATTTTTTGCTTAAAATAATTACATACATTATTGAGCCAGGCACTTTTCCTAAGTTTAACTATTCGGTTACTTCATTTAGTTTCTTTGTCAGAACCACTCTTATAAGGTAGGTGTTATTATCACTTTTCGGCTCAGAAAGGTAAGAAAGCTTGCCTAAGATCACATGGCCAATAAGTGATGGAGCTGATTTGGAGCTCTTGCCTAATGCTGTCCTCAAGGCTGAGTTAGGTCAGTGGTAAGCATTATGAATAACCAGGTACCACCACTTATGGAGCCCCTAGTACAGGCCAAGTGGTGCACAGGTTCACAGCCATGTGAGGTTAAGGATAAGTCTCCCTTCAGTTGAGAATATTTCATTTCTAGAAGTGATTAGGAATTTACTCCAGGAGGTGATGTTACTTTTTAGTTATGATTGAGCCTGATATTAGAATTCATCCAAAAGTCTTAAATATTTGTGTTCCCTACAATATGCCAACCACTGTGGATCATGTGCAGCATGAGAAAATGAATGCTTTCTGGACCTGCTCCTTATCAGGGTTAAGAAAAGAAAAGCTGTTAAGGAACAAACTTACTAGAACACACTAAGTCTAATACCAGATGTGTACAAAGGCAGAGGTGAGGTTGTCATATAACTGTAAATTGCAGTACAATATCCAGAATCCAGAATCCCTGATTTCTAGAGCTCAAACCTAGTTCAACAACAGTTTTGGTAAGACTCTTTGCTGGAGGCTTCAGGAATTATGGCCAATAGACATGGTCTCTTGTCTTGCAAGACTTGTTATCTACTGGGGGACATTTATGCATTCATTCATTTAACAGATAATTCCTAGGGATGTAATATATTCTAGATACTATGCCAAGATTTATGTGTAGAAGGAAGGCCCCGTCTTCATGGAGCTTACACATTAATAGGGGTGGGACACAATAAACAAATGAATAAATAATTAGAACTTGTGATAAATCCCACGAATCTGGTGATAGGGAATAACATTGGAAGGGTCTATTAGTTTCCCGTGGCTGTTGTAACAAGTTACCAGAAACTAGGTGGCTTAACACCACAGAAATCTATTCTCTTACAGTTCTAGAGGCCAGAAGTCCAAAATCAAGGTGTCAACAGGGTGACACTCCTTTGGGAAGCTTTGGAGGAAAATCTACTCTTTGCCTCTTCCAGCTTCTTGTGGCTTTCGGCATTCCTTGACTCGTGACTGCATCTCTTCAATGTCTGTCTCCATGGTCACCCTGACTCTTCCTGTGTGTGTCTTCTCTCAGTGTCTCTTATAAGGACTATTGTGATGGCATTTAGGGCCCACTTGGATAAATCAGGGTTATCACTCTATTGCAAGATCCTTAACCTAGTAACACCTGCAAGACCCTTTTTCCAAATAAGGAAACATTCACATGTTCCAAAGGGTAGATGTAGGCATCTTGGAGGTGGGGGAGGTCACATTTTTTGGCCCAACACAAAGGGTGGCTTGTACCATAATACAAAGCAGTTTTAGATAAATGCTGTAAGAGAAGCAAAAAGTCAGTGGGAGTACAGGAGGAATCTAGGTGACATCCTAAGGCTTTTAGCAATCTACTTGGGTGTATGAAAAGCAAGTTTTAACACCAAAGCTGAAGAGAAACTCACAACTTTGTCCTATTTATTTTCTTTCTATCTTTATCATTATCTGAATTTGTTTGTTTATATGTTTATCATCTGTCTTTAGCTATCAGAAGGTAAATTTGATGAGGGCAAGGGTTTTTTCTGTGTTCATCATCCCCAATCTCACTAATACCACAATGCCTCTTGCATCCTCACTCCCTGTGGTATAGCAGCCTCCAAAATGACCTCCAGTGATTCCCCATCTTCTGGTATATTTGCCCTTTGTGTAATCTCCTCTGTAAGTGTCCTGGACCTAGAGACTCACTTCTAATGAATACAATATGATGCTGAGATGTCATTTCTAACATTAGGTTACAAAAAGACTGATTTCCTTCTTGCTTGGCTTTTCATTCCCTTGCTGTGGTTCTTCTTTCCTAACTCTGTCCTTACATGAAGGAAGCAAGTTGCTCTATTGTGAGTACCCCCTGGAAAGGTCTATGTTGCAGGGAACTGATGTCTCTGGCCAATAGTCAATGAGAACTTGAGACCTGTCAACAGTCACATGAGTAGGCTTCGAAGTGAATCTTTCCCTGGTCAAGCCTTGAGGTAAATGCATCCCTCATCAATGCTTTGATTGCAGCCTTATGACTAAGCCAGAGTCAGAGGCACCCAGCTAAGTCGTATCCTGATTCTTGATCCACAGAAATTATGAGATATTTATTGTAAAATGCTAAGTTTTAGGGTGATTTTTTATATAGCAATAGATACACTCCCCATACCCAATCCATCACCCGAACCTAATTGTTTTATCTAAATACCTCTAAAATCTACTTACCTTCCTTCTGTATGCTGTAGTCTGTACGCTGATTTACCTGTGATTTACTCTTCTCTGAACTACTATGATAGCCTCTTAATACACCATGTTGACCTCCCTTCAAATCCATCTGTACTTTGCAGTCAGAGTCGTCTTTATAACAGACAAATTCAGTCATATCAGTCTCTTGCTTCTAACCCTTTTGTGACTATAGAACCTGTCTTCCTCTCTAAGTTCAGTATACGATATGCAGCCCCCTTTATTTCAGTCACATTGAGTTTTCTTTTAGTTCTTCATGTTCAACATATGTGCTTCCACTGTAGGGCCTTTGTGCTGTTCTCTTGAATAAATTACTTTTGCTACCTTTTTTTCTTTGGTTAATGCCAACTTCTGTAAACATAGAGTTTAGATCAAGGGTCCCCTTCTCAGGGACACCTTCTCTGATTTCCCTGACTTGATCAGATCCCCCTATTTATAGGTTCTTATAACATCTTAGCACTTGGCATTACTGAAATAATTGAAATTTTGTGTTTATAATACTGGCCATCTCTGTTGGACTGTCAATTTCAGGACAGTAGGGACCATGCCTGTTTTGTTCACCCTTGCGTCCCTAGTGCCTGGTATACTAGTTCAACCTTGTACCTAGTATAACAAATAGTAATCCCCCTTTGAATGAATGAGTGAATGAGGAAGGGTGGAGATGAAGGATGAATATATTCTTAAAAGACAGCCATAGGCTTTGGTGTTGAGAAAACAAGAAGAAAGCAATTGAAATACATTAAGGTAAATGGGTGAATTAATCATCTCAATTTATTGATGGAAAAACTAGTTATGGAGTTGAAATAATTAATCATAGTGTATCAGTAAGTCTCATTAATCAGGTGTTTTTGTTTTCTATCATCTGTTTATTCAATTTAAGGCTAGAAGGAACCAGTATCGTTTATTTCAATCTCCCTGTCTCCTTGAGAGAAAGTAATTGTCGATGCTCAGTTATCCAAGAATTGGCTTGTTGGGTCATTTCCTAACGTTCCTAACCCCACAAGTTTAGGAGACTTATAAATGGACTTTGATTAGCAAATGTGGGATAGGGCCTGTCCATGCAATTGGCAGTTCCAAAGGCTGCCTGTCTCAGATCGAAGTTGTTTTGTCTATGGTGAAATCTACCCTTACCCTGGCAGTGGTGGCTGTAAAGCAAAAATAGAATGTACCCTACTTTAACAATATGAACTCAAAACCAGAGATGGGAAGGGATCCAATTTTATAATATCAAATGCTGTTGTTTGATTTGGATGAATGCAAGCCATGACTAAAATCTTGGATTTGACTGTGGCATCTGATTCTTGCTCAGGTCATGATCTCAGGGTTGTGAGATTGAGCCCTGCATTGGACCCTGTGCCCAGCGTAGAGTCTGCTTGAGATTCTCTCTCTCCCTCTCCCTCTGCCCCTCTACCCGCTTGTGGTGCATGTGCCTGAGCACTCTCTCTCTCTCTCTCAAATGAATAAACCTTAAAAAAAAAAAAAAAAATGGCTACCAAAATTCAGCCCCGTCACCAAATAAATAAATGAACAAACAAAAAAAGCTCCAAACAACTTTGCTTAAGCCAAGTTATTTATGTATGTTATAAAAGACAGTGAAACATTTTCTCTAATTGCTACAATTTTTGAAGAAGTCAGTACATTTAGTAATTGCGTTAAATTGCTTAACTTAATTTGACAACATTAAGAATTAGCCACTTTACAAGCTTTAAAAGTGCTTGTCTTTGTTCCACAAAGAAAGTAATTTGGTGGTGTATTAATGTTATTAAAGGATATTGGATGATACTTAAAATGGAATAGACTACAGTTTTTGAGGGTGGTGGAATCTTTGTATGTCAATGTAGTCATTGAAGTTAGGTGCTATGATTATCAATTTGACAAGCAATAGTATTTTTTTTGAACTAAGAATATACGGTATTTACTACTGTATATTTACTACTATATAACGTATAGTTGTAGTTTATATTTTGGTTGCAGTTCATAATCAAATTATTTA